GTGTTGTCCATGATGTTTACAAAAAAAAAAAAAAAAAAAAAAAAAAAACCTTCTCAATTTACATTGAGGGAGGTAGGGCTATGAGAAGGAAAAATATTAGACCATTTACACGAAGTGAACAACATTGTCGAAGTCGGTGTCTTCTTCTGTGAAGACTCTTTGATTTCGTTCTTCCATAAATCTTTTACATCCTTGTGAAAAGTAAGATACCATCTGAAGATATTGAGAATCCTTGTCTATAAACTTTTAGTGTATGTAATGGATAAGTGACTTTGTGATTTGTTGTCTTTCTTGCCTAATGTGCACCAACTTGGAAAGTCATGTGGGCCAATTTTCACTTGCTAATGACTGCTGTTTCCTTTTCTTTAGAGTGATTTCCTTTCCAACTTTTATTTCATATTTATGGATATTTCTTTTAATAATCGTATGACTGAATACAAGAAAAGTTAAAATGTCTATCCATTTAGAATATTGGGGAAATTTGAAGCTTTATCTTTGCTCTATTAGATTATCTTTTTTTCTCTGAATTTTTGTCAACTCACTAAATTTTATATCACCAACCCATTTTAGCAGTGACCAATAGGGGTACTAATCGAAAATTGTTAAAACATGAAAGACTAAATTGAAACTTACTAAATGATAGGGACGAAGCTGAAAAAAAGGCTAAAAGCACTAGGGGCTCATGTATTCATTTAACTTGGCTTTATCATGTGTGATTTGTGGTCTATTTATTGTTGCGTGGACATTATTTGTTATCCTTGATGGGTTTTGATTTCTTCCGGCAGATATGGAAGATTGGCTTTTGTTGGTGATATCTTGTTATCCCTTTAGTAGTTCCATGGGAGGCTTACACACGTTGAAGCCGGACAGAAATATAAGCACTGAGGAGAGCAGTCTTTTATTGGAAATATTTCGAAAACAGAGAAATATATCTGGTAGATCATCTACAGTCAATCATGCACCACGGGTACAAATGTTATTGTCCGAGCTTATGGTTGTTTCTGTCGGTTACTGCTGGAAGCAATTCAATGACGAAGATTGGGAGTTTTTGTTGTGTCAGTTAATGAGTTGGATCCAACCAGCCGTTGTAGTAATGGAGGAAATTGCTGAAAGCGTGAATGGTATTATCGTCAATAGCTCTACTTCAATGAATGCAAATGAAATTTTAGAAAAGCTTGAGCAAAGTGTTAAGATTTCAGACCCAATCCCATTTTGCATTTCGAGAAATGCCCTTTTGTCATTTTCTTTGTTTTATGGTTCCTTTGGGCTACAAGGCCTGAAAGATATGGAAACTTTAAACCCTCAGCGATTAGATAAATTGAACCATGTCAATGATCGCATTGTTGAAGGAATTCTTCGCATGTTCTTCTGCACTGGAATTTCTGAGGCCATTGTATGCTCCTACGGTGATAAAGCTACAACCATTATAGCATCCTCAAGAATTGAACTTCCTCATTTCTGGGACTTGATAGCTTCAAGTGTTACTAAATCCTCAAAAGATGCTAGAGAGAGAGCAGTAAAATCAATTGAATTTTGGGGACTCAGTAAAGGCCCTGTTAGTTCTTTATATGGCATCCTTTTTTCCACCAAACCGGTTCCTTCATTGCAATATGCAGCCTATTTTATGCTCTCGACTGAACCAATTTCTTACTCTGCAATTATTAGAGAAAATACTTCGTGCTACCTGGATTATGATACCACGACCGAACAGGGCTCTACTCAAGTTGATTTTTCATCAGAATATAATGTGCTTTTGAAGGAAGAAATTGTATTTATGATTGAGAAACTCCCTGATGATGTTTTTGACATGGAGTTGATGGCCCACGAAAGGGTGAGTACATTGTCTCTAACATTTACTTGCCAACTGCCTTGTCTCTAACATTTACTTGCCAACTGCCGTCGAATTGTCAAAACTTTAAATATCACATTCAAATTTCAGTTGATACTTGTTGCTTTAATAGGACCTGATTACGAACGATTTAATTTTGTAGGTGAATATATTTCTTGCTTGGTCTTTGTTGCTGTCACACTTATGGTCATTGCCCCCATCCTCATCTGCGAGGGAAAGATTGGTCCAATATATCCAGAATTCTGCTAGTTCAAGGATATTAGATTGCATTTTCCAGCATATACCTGTTGAAGGCATGGCTCTTCAGAAGAAGAAAGATACAGAACTTCCAGCTGGGCTATCAGAAGCTGCAACTGCAGCAAACCAAGCCATTACCACAGGTTCATTATTGTTTTTGGTGGAATTTCTTTGGCCCGTTGAACCAGTGAAACTGGCATCATATGCTGGAGCAATATATGGCTTGATGCTCCGTGTTCTTCCTGCTTATGTTCGAGGGTGGTTTTGTGATTTGCGTGACCGTTCGAAGTCTTCTGTCATTGAATCCTTTACAAAAGCATGGTGCAGTCCTTCTCTCATTGCAAATGAACTGTCCCAGGTATGTGTTCTCTTGTGGCGAAGCTCATTTATTAGCTGTATACATATTGTTACTTTTTCAACTTATCCAAGACAATGAAATTAAGCTCCTTGAATTTACTCGCTTAATTTGGATTTCATTTGGGTGCTGCTCAGTATTAGTTTGCAAAAGTATGCCTAGGGATGGGGGTGGACCAGATGGGTCATTCAAAACACATCATGGAACTCTTAAGTATCTGGTTCTAAGCCTGTACTGTTGCTTATTTTGTCAATTTCAGTAGCTCTAGCAGACATGGCAATACCCTTTACTAACTAACTGCTTAGCTTTTAATGCCCATTGCTCGGATCACTTCTATGAGTGGTACCAATTCCTCTTGAATGTGACTTCCTTATGGTGATAGTCTATGTTCACGTGGTTGGTTTCCAGCCAAACTGTATAAAATATCTTGTAAAGATTGCTTGTATCTGTAGAACTCAAGGAGTCCAGGACACTTATGTACAACCTATGAAATAGATCCTGTTCAAGTAAGGTAGTAAGGTTGCTTGTATCATGAACCATAGGATTAGGTCAAACTAAATGAGTGGCATTGTACTGTACATGATTTGGCTTGTTTGATGAGTTATGCTCCTCTCAAAGAACATACAGACAACACAAAGTCAAAGGATACTAGCCTTTCTCCAGCTTGATTCACAATTATTAGATAAATGAACAGCTTGAACCTAACGATAAGGGCCGAGAGGTTAGTCGATTTCCCATCAAATGTAGTAGAGTTATTGCTCTTAAAGTCTTCAAATGAGGTAGTGTAAACGGCCATGCTCCTTCATTCTGGTTCTAGCCATGAATAAGCATTGAAATCCTCCAAGCTCAACATGATAGTTACTACATGCCATGAGCTTGGGAGATCAGTTGGCAAGGGTACCTGCACTGGAGTTCTACCGCGCTGTGTTGGCTCTTGTCGAGGTACCCTTATACCACTTCGTAAAACTGGTCAATCTACCAAAGCACCATGCTGAGGTGTCATTTAGAGGCACAAAACTACAACTTCATGTGGATATTGTTTTTGTGGGGTACAACACTATCATTCTCTTACAAAAATATTCTTTGCTGCAGATAAAGAAAGCTGAATTTGCTGATGAAAATTTCTCAGTTGTTGTAAGTAAATCAGCCAATGAGGTAATTGCTACGTATACTAAAGACGAGACGGGGATGGACCTAGTAATTCGCCTTCCTTCATCATATCCACTGAGGCACGTTGATGTTGATTGTATGAGGAGTTTGGGAATAAGTGAAGTTAAGCAGCGGAAGTGGTTATTGTCCATGATGTCGTTTGTCCGTAATCAGGTAACTTTTTTTCTTTTTCTGTACTGAAAGGGTGTTCAGAATCTTAAGCCTAATCATCTTAAAACAAGAAACGAGAAAACCCCCAAATCCGGTAATTCCTGTATTAGGTTAGCTGTGACGCGTTTAAGATTTGAGTGGACCTGCACGACTAGAGGTCGGTATATAGGGGCATTAGGGGCAATGGATGATTTAGATTTTTCTTATGTGATGCAGAATGGTGCTTTAGCTGAAGCAATAAGGATATGGAAGCGTAATTTTGACAAGGAGTTCGAAGGAGTTGAAGAGTGTCCCATTTGTTACAGTGTTATCCACACAGTCAACCACAGCATTCCTCGCTTGGCATGCAAGACATGCAAGCACAAGTTCCATTCAGCATGCCTTTATAAATGGTTCTCCACTTCACATAAATCCACCTGCCCTCTGTGCCAGTCTCCGTTCTAATCTGGACTCAAACTCGACGATAAGTTTTGACGATACTTCTTGCATCGACTGTGAAACAATGGAGCTGTAAGGTACACAAGCAGACACTTAAAGCGTGTAATTCTTCTATTCTTTTGCAAGTAGACTCTGTTTCTGTGCTAACCGTCGCAACGAAAAATGAAGGGCAGAACGTAACTACGAACTCGTCCACTTTTGGCACAACATAACGGTGTTTAAGATAGCTGAGCAGTTGATACGATTCACTTGGAAGAATGTTTTCTACTTTCTATATGCATTTCTTTTCCCCCAATTATGGCATAGCCTGGGTAGAGTATGTTTGTTTAATTCAACTGGATTTGTATATAAATTACCATTTAGGTTTTTGTTATTGCTTTTTCTGGAGCTCTAACCACATGAAAGTGCAAGAACTCAAACCTTTGAAGTTTGAGTGTTAAAATTTTGTATGTTCACCAGTTTCTTTTGTTTACTCTAATTCTATGAATTATTTGTCCTCTGAGACCTGTAATGTTGCATTTCATTAGGTTTATTTGGTTATGGCTGTTGGTCTTGATTCAATACTCACTTCAAACAACTTATACTATGCAAATACATACCCACATTATCATATAACATAAAAATAAACGATCGATAAGTTCTAAACCAAAATAAAATGAACTTCAAAATTTTAAGAATGAAATAAATATTTAGAAAGTCGAGAGATCAAAATAGAATAGTCTAATACATTGACGCCCATAATTAAAATACAATATATAAGTACTAAAGAGTATGAACGTGGCCTGCAAAATTAACGGCTCAATTGGGCATCTCAAGTTCTTCCTTAAAAGATAACACCTTATTGAAGAATGTACCTAAAATATATATTAATGAAAGAACACACAAGATGATAAGTGTAGCCCAAGTAGGCAATAAAAATTGTGCCGTAGAAAAGGTTACTTCTCCGATGTGCGTGCGCTAAACTTACAAATACAAACACTCGACTCGGTATTTTAGGCCAGAATGCCTATGATATGTCGCACATCTTGTGAGGGTTAGGGATATCTAATTCCAAGTGAAGAAATATGCATGAGTTCTAAGCGATGGTACCGTGTCCAGTCGATGTGAACAGGCGAGGAGGAAACTTAGCCCCATTGGTGTCGCTGTCACCGCATCAATGGTACCAACCACCGCATTTCTGCTCCATTTCCATTTGACAAATAGTATACCTTTTTCCAGGCATCTTCTGAGAAGGCTTCACGGCGTATCAGTCTTTGTCTGTCAAGAAAATGATCAACAACTAACTAAGCAATGCAGTGTACAGTTCGTTTTATGAATAGAATCACAAACTTGGGTAACAATCTGAAAGCACCCCACACAGCAACATTCATATAAATGACCAAGCAGGTATACCTTTGCAACTTCGGATTGCAAACTACATTGCGATGAGTGACATTCATGTTACAGTTCAAGAATTTCAATAAAAAGAAATAAAGAAAAAAACAATCCCCTCAAAAGTACTGAATGTTGTTCATAGGAAAAGACTCACATAAAAGATCAGACTGCTGTACTTAACCAGACGTCAATTACTATGACCTTTTACAGTTAAAAGAGGTCCTGTCATGGAAAGTACCTACCTACCTATTCAATTGGCCAATGAAACTCTCATCTGAAACAACAGAATCTCCAAAGGATTGATAGGACTCTTGATAGTTTTAAGACAGTAGTTTTTCTTTCTTCTAGGAGCATTTCATACTCTTCCTTTTCAAACTATTCGCAAAGCACCACATATTGTAGTAAAGGATCATATACTTCCCTTGACTTCACTCCCTTGTATACTTCAGTTTTTCACTGAAGTAATTTTGTTTCTAATATTATAAGCTGTTATCCGGACCACGGCAACAAATTAGTATTATGACTTCTGAATTTGCGAAACAAGTTTCTGAAGAAAAATTAGTTATACTTAGATTTTCGACATATGGTGCCGAAAGGATGTCCTACCCACCAGCATACCGATACAAAACATGATCACTTGTTTCTTCCATTGTTCTCTTACGAGGAAGTGTACTAGAGAAATTTTGGACGGTTTTAACCTGTAATAGGTTGCTTTCAACTCAACGAGTCTAGAAGACTCTCCTGGGTAGGTTGAGGTCCCCCTAATAAACAAGCCTAGTTCATCAGGTATTGTTAAGTCAATTACTGCATTTATATCTTATAAAATTACAGAACTTCAAAAGAAATTTATATCTCTTATATAAATCAAGAGATGGGAGTTGGCAATGCCATCCAACAGCTAACTCTTTCTGCAACTTACTATCGCCTCTATAAGATTCGATGAGAGGAGCTTTTCGTTTCTAAATGCTCCATCTCCTCTAATAGCCAAATAGGGGCTTATTCTAAATCCTTAACTAATCAAAGCTTTTGTAGGGATACCTTTTTCTCTTCATGTAACATTCTTAATTTTCTTTTTGCAATGAAATCAGTGTCTTCTCAAAATAACAACAAAATAAGCATACCTGAGGTAATAGTGAAAAACAGAAGCTGCTTCATCAAGATTGTAGCGAGGGAAATTAACACGTGCACCTAAAGGAACATCTGGCAAGTCTTGACGCAACTTTCCAACAGCAGTTGAATGAGAGAAAGCACCAACCATCATGTCGTCATGCATCATAGACCTAAAAGCTTTTACCTGTGAAAAAAATTGTAATTCTTATCATTGATTGAGAAACAAAAAGACCAAGGCAGATAAGAATTTAAGAATCATTTCAAAATCATTATACAAGGTAAAAGCTTCAACATTCAACATTGTATCTAAAAGGCTCCTAAAGTTTCAATATTAGTTGTATCTAAAAGGCTCCTAAAGTTTCAATGTTATGTCTAATAGGTGCCCGAACTTTAAAAAGCATTTATAGGTACTTAAACTATTAATTTTGAGTCTAACAAGTTCTTGAAACTAATAAATATCTCAAGGATTAGATATCTATTAAATACAAAATTAAAAGTTAAAAGAGACTTTTTAGTTACAAGAGTTTAGATATAATTTTTAAATTTCAATGACTTAGAAACAACACTTGTGTTAAAACTTGTCTAACCTAAAATTTTGGACCTCCAACCATCTCAATCCAAACTTCTGAACTATTCGCATTGTAAAGGTACCTTCTTCTTTGGCTTTCTTTTTCATTTTTTCTTTTATGAATAAGCTTCACTTTTTCATTTGTAGCTAGGGTGAGTTTTGCCCAGCCAATAACATACTATTCACTAAATGAGTCATCAACATTCTATCTTTACTCCCGGATTCAGAATAATCTTTTTTATATATAAATCCATGAGTGTTCGAGTCATCTTGTACCTTGACTAGTCTCACAAGTCAACTGCCCATCTATGAAGACATGAATTTATTGAGAACAAATAAAAGGAAAGCTTAGGAAACTCATAGGATAATAAATATTAGCTCAATGGTCACCGTAGTTTGAAACTATTCCCTCTAAATATTTAATCACTTACATCAACCCTTTTCGTCACTAGGTCAACTCATCTTACTCCATGATTCTAAATACTCCCAACTGCCTTGAACCCTTTTTAGCAATCTAAGACCTATTAGATTTCACATCAAATTGAATGGTAGGTTTCAAAAACTAATCTAAATGATATATAGGAAAAAGAAAGGGATAAAAAAGAGAAAAATATGGAAGAAAAAAACAAGGCTGAAACCAAATGTGCAGTCCTAACAAATAAATACTCCCAAAGAAAGCTATCTAACAAACAAGAGAGAAGAATAAATCCTAAGCCCAACTATTATATTTCTTCATTTGTATTCAGAAAAATTGTTAATTTAATCGTTCTTTCAACTTCAGTTTCATTTTTGGATCAAATCATTCCATTTGTTGTTTTCAAGTCCCCGAACATTGAACCAGAAAAATAAATGAGGGAAATGAGTTTTACCACAAAAATTACATTTTTTTAGGCAATGGAATCAAAACTATAAAAAGGCTACTGAAATGATGGAAGTATAAAGGCTAGCTAATTTAACTGTAGGTAACAGGGAAAAATGTTTAATTCCAACTAAACTAGAAGGTCATGGACCCGATAATCAAAATTTAAAAGTCTGAAGTTCCATGAGCAAGGAGTACATGCTGAAAGCTGAAAATGCAGTCTACCTAAGATTTCCATGAAAAGATGTTTGTTTTCCATTAAAAAATTAAAAATTAAAAAAAAAACATAAAAGAACATTTCACATTTAATGTATACTCTCCCTTGTTTCAAGACAGGAGATAGGGACCAGTTCCAATGCGATGCTTAAACACACAAGGTAATTTTGGTGGAAGTAAAAAGATGTTGAACCAAGAAAAAACACAAACACATACAAACTGAACAAGATATTCCAGGAACATCCAATGTATTGCAATGAATGTTAGCGAGTAGAAACAGAAAAGAAAAATCAATCCAAGCAAGTAGTTCGTACTAACCATTGCGAGTTCCCTAGCGTGTATTGGTCGAGTAGAACGAACGGTCACTGGTTCTTCAAATTCACTGAATGTAAACCAGTTGTTATACTGAACAAAAAGAATCAGCCACGAATAAGCAATCAAAGAAATGGAACTTGATCTTAGAAATCGAAGAAATGGAAGATGTAGTTTTGTGTCTTACTTGATCAATAGCAAAAAGCACGGGAATATCTTTCACAAGCGATAATTCTTTTCTTAAACGAACTACCACCCCAACAGCTGCATGAGTGTGCTTGATTCCAGTATCAATCAAGTCATATAAAGTTGAACCCTCAGGCATCATCATGGAATCAGCACCTTTCTTCATCCTGACACCAACACCCTCTCCCAATGGTATAGGATCAGATAATTGACATGGCAGTTGTCTTAAGCGGGTCTCATTGTACTTCAGAAAATCCTGGTCAAAACCAGTCCGCCAATGAAAAGTAAATATGTCAACTGTTTCAGCTTTACATATTATCCACAGTCCTCACTCGATCTCCAGAAAGCTAATCACAAAATAGTAAACACTATGCATGAAACATTTCCCAGTCAAATAAAGAATCATGATCACGAACATCATTTCCCTTGTCAAGATTCTCAATGGGGTGTGTAAGAATTAACATTTATCAATAGAATTAGAAAACAACCCCTTAAACTGGCATTCGATGCACATACAATGTTCGAGACCTGCATATTCATGACAAGTGCACTAGAAGATCCTGAAAAACACACACGCACACCATACTTCTAACTCTTAATTAGCAGGAAAAGGTCCTCACTCTCAGAACATCTTCAGCCTGAACAGGTGTGTCCCAAAGTCCTGTTTCAGCGTTTTTAAAGAAGAATCCTCCATGAGTCCACCGACGCCCACTAGGAACATAAAAAACTAGCCAGCCTTCATCGCGAGCCCAGTGAACAAGCATGGCGAGCGCAATACTCTTTCCACTATTGACCGGACCATCCAATACGATCTGTTTTCTAATATTTGAACCTGAATGTTTGAATTGAAATAGCAGCAAGAAAAAACATGAATACATTTGTTCGACCCCACCGCCAAAGAAAAGATAGTAGAAGAAAAGCAATACCAGCCGGCGACAACAATGAAGGATCAACCACACGCCTGAAATTGTCGCGAAGATCCAAAAAATTTTGCCGCACAAGCACAGCACTTCGCATAGAATCCTCGAACTCTTTGACCATTCCCAAAGGCAAACCCTCCGGCAGTGCCTCATTTAGTCCTTCCATACTTCCATTTCGTAAAGAAACGAATAAATATTCCAATAAACATTCACTCATAAACAATGTAGAAAACATACGTACTTGAATTTGAAATAAGAGCCTGCATCCTTGCGAGTGAGCTGTGAGAGTGAAGATGCGGAGGTAAAGAGAGGGCGGCCATTTGGGCCAACATCGAGTGAGTGATCATTTTCCTCGGCAGCAAGACGTCGGGCTCGAGATTTATCATCAAAAAGCGCCGCATCTAAGTCGTCGGAAGCAGCAGCGGAGGCCGAGGGATCATCGGTGGCTTTGCCGTCGCCCTTGGACTTGCCCTTCTTGGGCGCCTTCTTAACGGCGGATTTGGTTGTCTTAGCTGAGTAATTTGAAGTAAAAGATAGGATCGGAGAGGGATTCCGATTGTACGGCTGATGTCTAGAGGTTGCGGCGGCTGCTGCTCTGAGAATTGATCGCAACATTTTCCGCCAGTCGGAGATGGAGACGAAGTTGAACGCGAGGTTTTGGGTTTTGCAACTATCGCTTATACGCCAAGCGGCGCAGGGGTATAAGATGTCATTTTTTCATGTTTCAGGAGTATAATGGTACTTTGCTATTTGTGGAAGACCGCACCCCAATGAAATTGGGCCTTATGTTGGACCATGTGGCCCAAAATGTAACGGCCCAATGATGGGTTGAGTAGTAGTTTAATTTGAGTGAAATTATTATTTTCATTTATTTTTCAAATTCTTTAAATTTACCTATTCCTTGGGTTTATATTAGAATATCTATTTTACTTAAATTTTATTTTTTAAATAAATAATAATTTTAATGTCATTAGAATCCACGTCATTCTTAAAAGATGCTAATCTGGTGACAAAAAAAATTGTCATGTGTACGTACTATTGTAACTGATTGTTTGTTGGTTAACCGCGATGAAGATTTTGATAAGATCGATTGATTGTTCATGTATCTTCATCTTTCGAAGCTTGAGAAACAAATATATATATATATATATATATATATATTTTTTTTTTTTTTTTTTTTTTTTTTTTTTTTTTTTTTTTTTTTTTTTTT